ACTAGGCTAACCAAATGATTTTTCCCTAAAATTATGTAGCATTGCTCCCGACATATGATCATGAGAATAGCCTGTTCCTACAGACCCTAGAACATCTCTGGTTACATTACTGCTGTGATACTTTAATCTTCATTCACTTAAAGAATGTTGTTTTCCTAAAACATTATTTGATTGCCTTCTTGCATTATTTTGGATAAAATCCATATTTTTGCATTTTTATTGAGACGTCTCTCTCAATGAGTACTTTGCCACTTAAAGGCAGCATTTCTAGTGGCTTGTAAATGCTTTTTAAAATCAGCCTACTGAATCGATTTCTGGAATAGCGCACTCTCCAGATTGAGATCCATATGCGAGGTCTTGGTTCCTGGAAACTGAGGTTGTGCTTTTCAGAGGAAATCACAGCACTTCCACACAGACTTCCCTCTCTCCCCATGCGCACTGGGTGCACTGAGTTGAGTAAGAGCTCTCTGGCCCCTCTGTGAGGCCTGAGACAGAGTGCGACCAGACCAGCCTTAGCCCTTGAGGCATTTGGTTATAAATCTAGACTTGTGATTGGAGGAGACTGACATATTCTTACATTGGCCAAAAGGGGGACACAGGCCAGGGAGTAGGACAAATAGTTAAAATGCTTGTTGATGCTGTATAGTCCATGGTATTTTTGTTAAGCACAATTCTGATACATGAAGAATATACTTGACAGCTGTGACTTTATACCAACTTAAGGCAAATCTTAAGAAGCTGTACAAGTGAAAGTAGATTGAATTAGTGCTTATAATTAATGCCTGCCAGTATATATTATTGACAGAGTGAAATTTTCCAGACATCTACAAGTCTGAGGTAGAATTCAAGCTGGAAAGAAGAAAGAACAAAAGAAAAGAAATAGTTCTCGAAACTTTTTTGGCTTTTAAGTGAAGACATAGGGCCTAGTTTTCAGTTTGGTTGGGACATGTGATCAGTCATTTAGACCCAAAATCTGGTCTGTAAAAAACTCACATACTGAGTTTCTTATAGATACTTGACAAAGAACAGAAAAGGTTTTAAATTGTAAATGTGCAGTGCTTGTATACCAGTGACATCAGTGATTCCATCTTTATCTTTTCTCTCCCCAGTTCAAGAGCTGAGCTGTGTGTAATATTTAGGAACACGTTACTGTGGTTAAGTGTAAGCAGAGTCAAAAAAAGATACATGGATATGGAGCTGTGAGACCTCATGCTCCCTATTCCTCCAGACCAAAAAGGAGTCCAGATGTTCTCATATACTCAGAAGCTGATTCAAAATTACGCCTTATTCACTGCTTTTTAAAGAATGAGAAAATAAATACATTTAACATTAAAATTAATTAAATTTTTTTGCTTCTGCAAGCTGTTTGGAATCCTAGAGCACATCAAATTTATCATTTGTAATACTCCCAGAAAAAAATTAGTACACTACATTATACTTCCTAGTGGTTGTTGTGAATAAGTAGGAATAGTGACATTTGAATTTATGTGGGTGACGATAGCTTTTTCTCTATATCTAGCTCAGTAAATTTTGAGAATTTTTTGAGATCAGATCTATCTTCGATTCCGATGTACTCCTGGTTTCCTATAATATCTTTGAAATCAGTCTAATTTTAGCTTTCCTTTATAATTTCACTTATTTATGTTTTTTATTTATTTATTTCTTTTGGTACCGGAGATCGAACTGAGGTCCTTATGCTTGCGAGGCCAGCTGTGCAACTACTGAGCTAAATTCCCGGTCCTCCTTTACAATTTTATGACTCAATACAAAATAAAATTTGTATTTTTGACGAAAACGTATTTAAAATAATGTGACACAGAATCTAGAGAAAATGGTGACTACAACCCAACACCCTGTTCTTGTAGCAGATTTTCAGGCACTGCTGACACAGGAATTTTTTTCTTTTTCCCCCTTCTTACATGTTATTTATTTTTATTTTATTTTATTAGTACATGTTTGTAGTAGGGAGGAGGTCCATATATTTAACACATGTTGGTTCTTTTTATTCCCCTCCCCTCCCCACCTGCCGTCCTTGTCTCTAGAGCCTCTCTCCCCATTTTCATTATTGTTTATTTTTTTCTTAGTTCATGTTTGCAACATATGATGATTACATTCACTGTAGGTATTTGGTACATATCTAAAAATCTTTAATATACCGTATTTAACCTAATTTGTATCCAAAATATTATTTCAGTAGGTCAAGGAGCTGGTTTTCTAATGTAATCTAAGCAAAATGGTAGCTGTGTTCAACAAGTGATGTGTATATTCCCGTAGCAGAGCAGACAGCAGTTCTTGAAGAAGGAAAACAAGTAGCTTGGCTTAAGGTCTTACATGACCTCTCACTGGGCAGTCAGGTTCTGATGCAGCGAGGAATTGAACAGCCCCTTGCTTCCTTGTTCCTCGTCTCTTTGTACCCTTGAAAAAATTCAGTCAAGATACACAGGCAACTATACAGAAGTACAGGTAGAATTTACTGAGTTTTTGATACAGAGTTACACCTTAAAGGGAGAAGGCAGGCAGTGCCAGGAAGGACCTGCACCCAGTGCTCTTTGGGTCCATTTTATGCACAGCAGAGTTACTCTTGGGTGTCCGGGAGCAGGGGTTGTTATGATGATTATCAATGTTGTATTTAGAAGTTACGTTGGAATTGCAAGGTGTCTTCCTGGACTTTTTAGATGGTCAGTGTTTCCCCAGGGCTTTGAATCATGTAAAGAACTCACAAAAGATATGTTTTAAATTTCAGCCAGGCCCCAGCCCAAGGCAGGAGGGTCTTTAAAAAAATATTTCCTTTCCTGGTATCATTGAGCTGTAGTTGTGGCAGCTGGGAATGCAGTGTACCTTGTTGTGGAATTAGACGGCCAGGTGGCCAAGTGTAAGAAGGAATGTGTACAATGTCATTAAGATGTCATTGTGCTCTTGGGTCACCTTGGGTCTGAGACCTAACAGATGATTATAAATCTGTTATGCACTGATGTCTCTGTTCTTTAACTGGCAATGAATGCTATTTTGGATCTCACCCTATTTGTCCTTTGAACCTGCTAATGTCCAACTACCTGCCTAACATAACTCCCAGTGCATTTGATTGAAAGCTGTATCAATTTCTGTATACCATCCCCACATTTCTTGTCATTATTACTAACTAACAAAAAGACTGTGTTTTGTCCATTGATTTTCCAGTGAGTAATGAAATAGCCTAAGGTAGACAACAGGGTGGAAAACAATAATTTTATTAATCAGTCTCTCCTGAATATTCAAGATGTTATAGCATCTGTGATACATCTGAATAGGATCTTTTTCATTAAAACAAGACTTAATTTTATCTAACAAAGAGAGTGTACATTCTGATTGGCTTTGGGGTCAGTGTCTTTAAAGGACATTAATTACTCTCTCCACTGTCCTCTGTAACTACTTATTGCCAAAATTTTCAACCAATCTGAAATAGAAAATGAAACAATTGCCTTCTCAAATTCTTATAGGGACAGTGCAGCATTGTTATTTTTTAGTCCTCTTTCCTCTCTGCGTATATTAGACTGTAGGCTTCCCCAAGACTGTCTTTCATTTCTCCTTATACTCAAATGAGACTTAGTTCTAGCTGCTGGTTTCAGTTAGATCCTTACATCCTGACTGCCAAGTTTTTACAGCCCTAGTCCTAATGCCTTACTCGAGCGCTAAACCCAGCATTCTCTCTCTTTTGTATAGTATATGTGTTTGCAATACATAATAAATATATTCATAGTTGGGCATTGGTATATATACCTACTGCATCTTGTCTCCATCTCTCTCTTTTTTTTTTTTTTGTACCAGGGATCAAACTTGGGATCTTGCACTTGAAGGCAGGTGCCGGAACCACTGAGCTAAATCCCTGGCCCTCCATCTCTTTTTTAAAGCCCTGGACTCTTACCCTTATGATCTTGTTGCTCTGTCCTTCTTAATCACCTCCTCTTGACTCCTTTTCTTCAGTGGTGCCTCTCAGATTTCCCTCTTTACAGGACTCACTTCACTCAAGTCTCACCATCTGCCGATAGCACCTGACCTTGCCATCTTAGGCAGCCCAGATCCCTGCAGTGGCTCCTGACTAGTGTTCCTGCCTCTGTTGCTCTCTGCCCTTAGCCTGTTCACCACACAAGCCACAGTGATGTCTTCAAAACATGGTCTGGCTATGCCAATCCCTTCCTCAGAACCAAAGGAGAAACACACATGTCCAACCTCCTTTCTTGAGGTTGCCACCTTTTCACTTAAAAGAAACAGTTTATAGCTTCTCTTCAACCTAAGTGAATTGCCAGCGTCACTACTCTTGTGCTTTGGGTCCATTATTAAGTAGAAAAGGGTTACATGAGCATCAGCTGCTGTGACACTCAAGCCTCTAACAAGACCGCTGCCAAGTGACCGATGAGCAGGCAGCATGTGCAGTGTGGATCTGCTGGACAGAGGGGTGATTCCTGACCTGGTACAGTGGGGTGCAGTTTCATTGTGCTCTTTACAATGTCCTCAATCTAAGACTTAGGAATTGTTTATTTCTAGAATTCTCCATGTAATATTTTTGTACCATAGTTGGCCATGGATAACTGGAACTGTGGAAAGTAAAGCCGTAGGTTAGAGGGAACCACTGTACCATACGAATTGCCGGCTTTATGTTAATTAAATCTTGTGCAATGTAGTGACATTTGCCAGTTGTAGTGCGCTTGTTAATTCTCCAGAAACTTTAGGACCTCCAAGATCAGAGTAGCCTCTTACACATTTTTTCTGGTAAACATCTGTATTTATTTATTTATTTATTTAAACATCTGTATTTAGATCTCGGCAAGGGCCGGGGATTTAGCTCAGTGGTTTCGTCGCCTGCTGCACAAGTGCGAGGACCCGAGTTCGATCCCTGGTACCAAAAAAAATAAATAAATAAATAGATCTGGGCAGATAACTGATTACTTCATTGAAAACATTGTCATTTTTTTCCAAGTCTGTTTTTGAAATATTTAAGCCTTGTCTCTTTTTCTGTTTCCTAGAACGTCATTGTTTAAACAACACTCAAATTCATGAACCTGAGAAGTTTTGACCATTTCAAGACTTAATGCCACACCTCCACTCCAGCATATTTGTGCTACGACTGGTAACAATGACCAGAGCCTGAAGAGTTAAAATGCCAACATCAAACCTTACCTTAACAGCTCTGGTCTACACTGTTTCCGCACATTTTAAATATGTTACTTTGTTTTATAACCACTTCTAAATATTCTTGGTTCTTTCTTTTTTCCCCCCAAGTAAGGGGTTTTGTCTTTATTTTTTATTTACTTTGTGTACAACTACTTGCTTTTTATGACTCATTTGCTCATCTGACAGTGAACAAAGCCAGCCTGGGCTGGTAAGGTGCTGTTCACTTGAACAGGTGCTGTTGTGTGGAAAGGAAACTCTGACTAATTTAGATAGTGGTTTTCCTTCTTTCAGATTCTTTCCTTTGAATTCTTACAGTAAATATTTGCAGAGTTTTCAGATTGCAGTAAATATACTCTCTGAGAAATATTAATACCAATTAAAAGTATTTCTTACATCTTGAAAATTTTCTAATGTTTGAGAATTTCACCGATATGTTTTTTATTTTGAACCCTTTTGACTTTCCAGTCCTGTGACTTTTTAGAAAGTCAGAGACTCTCCAGACTGGAGAATTACCAATTCACTGACCATGCACTGTGTTCAGAGACCTGTGGCACCATAGTCCCAGTGCTTCTCAAACACATGCTCTTCGACAGCATTCCAGAGCAGGAGGGAGGAGAGAGGGCAGTTTCTTCCCTTCTACTAAAAGAGCCAGGCAGCTTACAACCTTAGTGCTTGCTTTCTTAACGTTTCCAAATTCCAGTTCTTTCCATTATCTGAACACATGGATAGTCCCCTTGCTTTTTATTAAATCTCCTTGTCTGTGTGTGAAACTGACCTTTTCTTACTGAGCAGGTGTATCTCCCAGATAACTCAATGGCTCGCCCAGGTTTGAGGCTGCTGTAGAGAGGGAGAGGAGCAGGGCCTCAGTGGTTGTTCAGTTGGTTGTAAGAAAGCTAAACCGTTTAAAGCTGACACCAGAGACCTGATAGGGACTTATTCACTATATTGAACATTTTCCTCTTGCTTATAATTATTAGATTTATAGCAGCTTCAAGTTGTATTAAATGATATTTTGCTTTCTGTAATACTGTTATAAAATAAAGTTTGTTTATTCTCTGAATTCGTCACTTCTCTTTTTATACCGGTCTTGAAAAATAAACTGGAGTGATGTTTTTCATCAGAAGTCCTAATGTTTTGTGGAAGATAGCATTCTGCAATTCCGTTTTCAGCTCTGTTTTATAATTTGATGACGTTACCAGCATCATGATTTGAAATGGTGAAAGCAGTGTTGAATGTTTGCACATCTTATGTTCAGCACGCCAAATTCTTTCTGCCTGCTTAGATAATATATCCTGGTTTTTATACATTCTCCAAGGGATATTTTTGCTTGCTTTCTTTGTGTAGTTTTTTGTTTTGCTTTCAGGAAATATTTTAGCTGTCCCATCTGAATCCTGTTTCATGTGTCCACTGTGCCTAATGTGTCAGGCAAACCAGACTCTGCCGAAGGTCGCGCCAAGTGCTGTTGTGATGCTTCCTTGTGAAGCCTTTGCCAGGGCACATCAGATTCTGGGCTTAATTTTCTTTTAAATATTACACAGCAAATGGCCAAAAGGGTGTATTCCTTTTTTAAATGTTGCATAGAATTTCTCTCTGTAGCCATGCAAAGTGAGTGTTAAATATAATTTGCATAACTGTCATCTTTGAGATCTCTTCACACTGAGTTATCTTGCAACTTGTGAAAGGCCTTTCTCACTTTCTCTATAATTGTTACAAAAACAACAACTCTCTGGAGGAGCCTATCTCACCAAGCCAAGCCTTGGAAATATTGTGTGATTCTGTAAATATATTTCTCACCATAGAGCTTGTGGATATACCAGTTATATTTAAATCCGAGATCTTCCCAAGGGTTTGAGGACCATGTTCCTCTGTACAGCATGACAGAGAATTTGTGTGGAGCACCATGGACTAGGAAGTGCCATGTACAGGCAGGGCTCAGTTACATCCAGCAGAGAGTCACAGAGAGTGTCTCTGGGGACGTAGACCCAAAGGACTACTCAGCAGTGTGGGTAATTATTCCCACATGTGACATCAGCACGGCTGTCTCTTAACATTTTATATCTCAGGATGTCATCGTCTCACCTGGTGAACTGAGCTTTCAAACCCCAAGTGATAAATAGGAAAGTAGATCAACAAGGTTTTGAGATACAGATTTGAAAAGTTTTAAAAGGGAAAGGATATTTTAAAATTCCTAGTCTACTTGATGGTAATTATAAATAAAAATGTTTGAATACATGATTTCTCCTTCATTCTCTCACCCCTAAGTCAGGATAAGAAGCCATTGTGTAAATTCTGATGGAAACTCGGAGGTGTCTTCTGATGAGCATCTCTCATGTCTTTGGCAGACCATCTTTGACAACACCCAGCTGTCAGATTGCCAACACAGCCAACAGCAGAAATGGACAGCTTGACAGCTTTGGGTTAGCTCTGTAAAGTAAAAGATTTGGTGGTAAATTTTCACTGACTAATAAATAATGGCAGTGTGACAACAAGCACTCATGGAAGAGTTTTATTGAACGTTTCAAATTGGGAGTACATTTTATCTCTAATGGGGAATTCTTTCAGATACTAGGATAGTAGAAATCAGATTCAGAACTGTTGGGTTGAGACCGTATCAGGTGGTGAGAGGATTTGTGTTCCCTAACAAGCTTTGGACCATAGGATGGAACTGAGTGTAGGGTAAGGAAAGAAGACTGGCCAGGTCCAGATGGAGACAGCACTGTTGGGCAAAAGCTGTGAAGGTGACAGATCAAAACCTATGAGCACATGAAGCGGAAGTGTGACCATGCACCTGCCTTTCAACCATGGTAATGAAACCTTGGGACTTGTTTTCTCAGTAGGAAAACTAGCATGTAAGTGGTCTGCTACATTGAAAAAAACTCATGAATCTGGTCATCTCATTGGGTATTCTTTATTTCCACCTTATTCAGTGGCAACAAAAGAGACAGGTCTTGCTTTAAACTGCTTGGTTATGCTTGCTGCGGAGAACATACATGATTAGGGCTCATCTGTTAACAGTGTAGCTGAGAAGGTGGGCAGGCAGCCACCAGAGTCAGAACAAGGGCTTCCAAAGCGCCTATTTCTGAAGGAAGATGGCGCAAACCCTGGTGACTGAGCCCCAGATTTGCCTGGCAGTTGCCTGTGGTGGGAATGTGAAGCATCCTTTCACACCTTCTGGTAAAGCACTTTTACACAAGCTTGATTCCACCCAGGGCTAAAAAGAGATCACTCCCCAAACTGAATAGTGTTATTCCTTCCATATGGCATGAACACTGTTAAATTACCCCCGCCTGAAAGTCCCAGCAGACATTTGCATTGTAATTGAACACTATAACATGGAGAAGTGCCTTCAATTGGACAATGAATTACATTACATGAAGTGCAAACAGATTGCTCACAAGACATGAAGAATTTCAGGGTGGGGCTGAAGGGAAGAAACAATAAATACTGGCACTTGTAATGCATTTTTGCTTTTTGTCATCTACACAATCTTGCATGACTGCATCACTACCAAAACTGGTGCATTTATTACAGGTGATCAGATACATTTCATAAAGCACATCACTAATACCTTAGTAGAGTCATGTGAGAAAACTGAAATATAACCAGATCTAGGTAGTATTAAAAATCTTTCATTCCTGTTAACAAGAAAAATGGAGAGAACACAATAATAACCATTGTTTTAACTACCACCTTGAATTAAGTATTTCTTTTCAGTTGTCTATGTTGGCTCTTTAGGTAGGACTCCCACTGAAAGAATTCTCCTGACTTCTTTCCATATTTAGGTATAGCTTCCCTTTGGTTTTATAGGCAAAGTCTTGCATTAGTCTTCTTAAGCAATTATGTGAACATCCTGTTCTCCTTTCCTTTTCCCAGCCCCAAATTGTCAGTATTTCCAAGTCACATGCTGAGGTCTACATTGGTGAGTGGTCCATACCTCATACTGGGAGACTCTGCTTGTTTTTTGTCACAGTAATGATTTGTGAACACAATGAGGAAATAAGATGCAAACGCAGGTCCAGAAATGCTGCCTTGAACTGGTGTCGTGTAAGCAATGCTCAACTGTCAGAGGAGTGAGCAGGAGGCCTCTTGCCTGGGTCATCCACGGAGGTCTCAAGGCACTCATCTTTTGCTGTTGGCTTGATCTCCACCAGTTTCCTCACTAGCATCAGAGTAATGTGGGTTTCCATGGGATTAGGTAGTAATGATGCTCAAGAATTTCATTTTTAAAGTATGCCTTTCAAAGTAAACATGGTTATAAGAACAGTAAAACGTGTTCAGTCCATTGAGCATATCCAAGAAAGTCTCATGTTCTTGGCACTTCCTGAAGAGCTGTCGTTAAAGCTGGTTCTCAGAGAAGTCCTCTTGGATAAAGACTATCTGATACTTTTCAGTGTGGCTCAGAACTGCCATATTAGTATTCTTCTCTTGCTGCCGCGTTCTGCTTTAACTGTGGGCCATTGGTCTGATTAGAAGTTCATTGGGCTTTAGCCATTGATCAGTCCCAACAGTCACCTCTGTTTCATTTGCCAGGACTGGGAAGAGCAGTCCTTGCACATGGATCGGCCATCAGGAATCTGAGACAGTTCTTCATTTACTGAAAGAAGAAATACCAATTAATAATTTGGACACAGCCGAGTGCCATTGGTCCTCGACAGCTCATAATGGCAGCTGGCCACTGTTTGTGGCTCTCCTGGCCCCGGTGAGTTACAGAAGCCCTAGTCTTCAGGGCAAGAACTGTTATAGGATCTTCCAGCTCAGTCACCTCTGAAGAATGGGCCTGGTGAGAGTGAACAGATACCCACTGTTACAAACATTGTCACATGCTAAGTATGTCTCGTATTCAGCAGGTTTTGTTGATTAATACCCTTATATTCAGTAAGCCTTTTAAAAACATGTATAGGCCAGGAATTGGGAATATGGAAATGAGTAAAATGGGTTCTGCCCTTGCTCCCCCTTCCAGAATATATTTGGGCACTAAATAATTTTTTGACAAAACAGATTAGTCTCTTCGGCAGCCTTTTACTGACAACCCTTTCAACTTTTCACAATCTACACATTCCTTAACCCCTTACAATACAGCATCAGTTAAAGCTACTAAGATTCAAACTCATGCATATCATCTTAATTACTCTTATTTACAAAATAGCCATTTAAAAATTCTCAATTTGCCTCTGTAGCATTTGACACAGGGCCCTTCTCTGCCCATTGCCCACCTTTTGTTATGTACCATCTTTCTGTGAACTCCTGGCTGCTTCTGTAGCTTCAACTAGTATCTCTGGCAATAACCAAATTAGCCCTGCAATCTCTTAAAATCTCAACACATATTTCTTGGGATATTCCTGGCACATCAAAAAACACATCTCCCTTCCTGACTGCCACCAAGACACAATTAACTGATCTGCCTGCTTTTGCCTTCAAAATTTTTATTTTCAGAATTACAATTAGTCCAATCAAGCAAGAGACCAGGACTTTATAGCTGCACGGGTAACAACAAACACATCGATAGAATCAAACCTGAAATGTTACCTTTGGCTTCCACGTGAAATCCATGCACTTTATCCCTTGCCAAACACTTTGTGTGCTCTGGGAGATAAACACTCTTCCTGGCCTCAATTCTTCTGGCCTTTAAAAATGCTGATCTTACTCAGGAGAAGGTGCATATGCTTAGATGACGACAGCCCTCGGCTATAGGAGCCTCAGGATTTGCTAGCCAGTGCTTGTCCAGCACTTGCTGTGTGCCAGACACAACATGGAGTCCTTTGCATGAGTTATCTTGTCTAATTTTTTTTAAAGAGACCAATGTTCTTTTTTTATCCAACCCTTGCAATGACATTATAAGCTAGTCACCATTACTATATTTTTAATTTAAAGATGAACAGCCTGAGACAGAGAGGGATCCAGATGAAGCAATTTTCCCAAGACCACAAAAAGCGATGGGTTCAGGATTCAATCCCAGGCAGTCTGGCTTCAGAGTCCACACCTTCAGCACCGGCTTACACAGCCTTTCCACACATCTCATTGCTGTTTTAAAGATACTCCCTGGAAATGGCCCATGGTTTAGACTATGAACTCACCAAAAGATGAATGATTGCTTCCTTTCTATTCTAAATTACCAATGGCTAACTGAACACCAGGTGCTTTGAGCAAGGAACCAGGATACAAATTACAGAGTTGAAAACAGGAGACCTGAATAATAAGATTGAAAGAAAAGAACTGTAAGAGCAGAGAAGTGAAATAGAGGGAATAAGAGGCAACTCATCCATCTACAATGTGTCTCCTTCCAGTGAGTAAAGCATCAGTGCTAGGCACCATGGAGAAGCAAGAGAAGTAGGATAGTGTACCCTCCTCTAAAAGAGCCTGCAGCTTGGCCAGTGCAGTATTTCAGTGTGTCCGCTGAGGGTTCGCAGAGGGAGGTTAGACAGGTAGGTGGCCCTGAAAACACATGCGTTTGCTCTCGTAGAAAATTCTGCACTCAGTGGGGTTTATTTTCCCCATTGGGCCTTGAGTACAGAAATCTAATCTCTGACTGAGGAATGATAGATCATTGTGTTAGGAACTACCACCATCAATAATAATAATTACTCCTCATACAAAACTTCATCGACTCTTTCAAAGATTTTTCTGAATTTCATGCCTTACTTAAAATTCTCCTACAGTTGTCTCTGAAGTTGGTAGGAAGTTTATTTGCCTGGACCAAAAGGATTCGCGCATTCAACAGATAAAACATCCAGTGTTCAATCAATACTCCGGGAGTAGTGTGTCAGCTGAGAGGGCTAGTTCAGAGTCAGCCAGCCAGGGCTCATGTCCTGCCTCTGTTATTTTTAAGGTGAATAACACAGGGTGATTTGCTTAATTATTTTAAGGCAGTTTTAACAATAGCTGTCATGGTAATGACACAATCACTGGCTGCTTGGAATTTATAAGCCAGCAGGACAATGATGACTAACAGTTGTTCAGAACAGGCACTGTTAAGAACCTGGTGTGCATCACCTCACTTAAGCCCCACACCAGTCCCCTAGCTTGACCCTGCAGCTATTTCTACCTTACAGATTAGAAAGCTTAAACTTCAAAAGATTGAGAGACCATGGAATTCAAACTCTATTTGGCTTAGCTCCATAGTCTAAGTTCTTAACAATTTGACTCTGCTAAGTCTTAGTTCACTCTGCTCTTTCCAAATAATTATTTTTTGTCTTTTTTGATTGCTGGCCATTAACATGTACATTTGAAAATGCTTAGGTACCCTATATAGTTTTTAATACTTCAGTTGTCTATCGTAGAATGCAAAAGGCCAGAACCTGATTCATTACCTTATTTTGGATCTAACCCTATACAAATTTTGAGATATTCAATGGACACAATAAAAAAATACTATTTTTGGCAATTTGGTTATTTTAGAGAATGATTTGCTCTTTGATGGTATTTTGGGGGCTGGGTGGCATGAGAAGTAGTTTTAGGAATCTCAGGACTTAGTGCGTGGAGTGGAGGATGGTATGAGATAATCCAAACTTCCCTAGGGGATGAAACATGTGGTTAGTAGTGGCTGGTGAAAGGCTAGGACATGCAAAGGTTAAGACTCAGACCACCCTAAGAGCTACTTCTCAAGCCTACTGACAGTTCGAAGAGTGCAGGATGTTAGAGAATTTTCTTTCTTCCTTTGTGAGGAAATTGATGTTCTCTACCTGCTAATTAAATTTACATGCACCATTACCTCCTAAGGGTTGAAGACTAAGGATTAATGTTGAATGATGACATTGTCTCCTCATGCTTTTCATCACATCTTAAAATGGCTCTCTTTTCTGATGGTCCAGGATGTATGAGAGAAGCAAGCTAGTTTTCTGTTTTAGAATGCAGGACTCTGGGGCTCTGTGAACATACCAGTTAATCTGTCAATGTCCCTCTCTACAGGGACAAAATAGGAATGATTACACTTGGCACAGCCCTGGCTGGAAGATAAATGACATGACATTTGCCCATCTGTTTACAGTTTTTAAGTGAATATTGCTAAATGGAGATACAAACTGGTGATATTTTATTTTGGGCCAAGTGAGCCCATTTTCATTGGCTCTCAAACTACAGAGAAAATATTTTTACTTCCTCTTAGGAAAGTGGCAACAGAAAGTACAATCATTTTGAAACAACAAGCTTCAGATGAGAACTGCAAAGTGTTAAGTGACTAATGCACAGATTTTTGTTATGCCATAATTAATGGTGCCTGCACTTCCTGACTGCTGTAGTCCCTACCTCTACATAACCTGGACGTTCAGCCCACTGCAGTGAGAGACAGCAAATGTAGGTGAAAATGGACAACGTGGCTCAGTGTAATGCTGAGGGTGCCCCTGAGCTACGTAGACGATCCTGCTGCTGGTGAGAGGGCTCAGTCTGACATTCAGGAAAGGAGAAAGAATAGGTCATTCTTCAGTTTTTTGACCAGATATTGACTGAGGCCAGAGTCAGAAACAGATTTGTAACATCTGTAACTTTTGATGATGCTTTTTGTCAGTGCTTTTTATGGTTTTCTTTTTTTTTTTTTCTTTTTCTCTTCTTTATTTAGTGTTAAGGATGAAACTCAGGGGCATGCACTTGCTGGGCAAGGGTTCTACCTCTGAGCCACATCTTCAGCCCCCTTTGGTGGTTTTCTAGAACTGACATTGTTTTCTTTCATCCTGAAAGCCCATAGTAAAAGTCTGTCCCGCTGCCTAGGACAACCCCTGGTGTGCGGTAGAGCTATGGTTCAGTTCACCACCCAACTTCATGTTGGAGTTCAGTCTCCCTTGAGAAACATAAAGTGGGACCAGGTGCAACCTGTAGGAGGTGATCAGGCCTCCAGGACTCTGGCTTTGTGAGGAGAGCAGTGAGAGGGGCGTCTCTTACAATAACCCATCTGCCTGTCTTGCGGATGCCCTTCTCACCAGGGGACGCTCTGTGCTGCCCTGAGAGCCAGTCAAGAGTTCCCAGCAGCAAGAGGAGCCTCCCCAGATGCAGCCCCTTAAACTTGGACTTCCCAGACTCCAGGATTGTAAGAAATTAATTTCATGTCCTTATCAATTACCCAGTCTACAGTATTTAGTCATAGAGAAAGAAAACAGGCTAAAGTAGGTAGATTCACAAATATTTATCAAATGAATGAATGAAAACTATTATGATGCAGAAGTATGGTGCACGCTTGCAGAAAGCTTTAAAATTGGTTAAAGGACTCTACCCAGGAAACATTGGCCCTCATCATGTGAGGCTGACCTCTAGCTGTCCCTTGGGCTAGATCCTATGCTGCAAAGAATAAAGGCTTTTAGGGGAAGGAACAGATTCACAATTGTGAGACGGGATCAGCTCATCAGCATGTCAAAATCTGGAGTGGGGAAGGGAGAAGGAAGTAGGAAGGAAGCATGTTTCTTGGGGCCCTCTGTTCTCTTCACTCGGATCCTTCATTAGCAGTTCTAATTTTATGGAGCTAAAACTCGTTAATAGTTTTTGCCTGTGATTTGGTCCCTGGTCAGTTTTCCTGGGCAGGACTGTGTTGGAGACAGAAGGGGCCACTGTGCAAATACTCACAGTGGTGTGTGCACTTTGCTCACTTCCTGGGGCCAGGCACTGAGTGGCACTTCACCTGCACATCCCTGTAGCACCTCTCTGGCTGCCAGGCCACACTCCTGACTGCAGCTTAACTTTTCCAGGGCGTTCTGAAAACTCATGATATGCTTATACTGCAGAATGATCTAAAGAAAGTACTGTAAACTTACTTATGTTTTACATATTACAGATGTTTTCCCAGGGGTAAATAAAGCTTTGGAACCCAGATCCATCCTCTTTGGCCACCTGTCCCCAATACCAGATGTCCCACTGAATTATCTGATCTATAATAACTCATAAGCAGAGCCCAGTGAGACTTTGAAACCCATGAAGCCATCTTGACCTTATTCGTGCTTGATGCATTTTTCTTTTGAGATACTAAAATTTTTATCTTGCCAAAGAAGCAGCTAGAGACAGAACTTGGGAAAGACATGAAGTGTTCAAATTCCCAACAGCGATGTCCACACCGTTTATTCTCCTCAGGGTGCTCGGTGTCAGTGGGAGTCTGCGATATGCATGACTGACAGCAGTTACTACAACTAGGAGAGGTCAGCATGGAAATGTTCATAGTACCTGGATATTAAAACAACTTGGAAGGCTGAAGGAGAGCTGTAGCCAGGATCTTGGAGATTTTTGATTTTCTCTTACTTTTCTGAAGGAAAATGATCATAAGTGGCTGGGTTAGCAGAAAATCCAGCAGGCTGGTCTTGGGGCATGGAAGATGAACTGACTTAATAAAGAGAAGGATTTTCAAAAGAATCCCATAGAGGCACAGAATATAGTTTAATCACCCAACAGGGGAGCTGTTCATAAAAGTGAGACATACACACAAAGTAAAGGGCTGCTGGGTGTTGGAGTACTTAAAATGCAAGACTTGGGACTCTGTAACACAATCTCTGTCCTCTAGGATTTTTCTATGTTTTAATTCTCTTCACAGACATAAATATCCCTAATTGCTCTGCTGTTCAACTTTAGAATATATATTATGGCATGAACCTGAAGAGTCTGAACCTCTGTTTATAGAGGAAAAAATACACAAACATTGATTGGACTTAGCAAGTTTTTGTAGAAGATAAGGGGGTTTCAAATTTGGTTTTTTGGTGGTTTATATGACACCATCCAAATTAAGAAATAGAGTGATTTTTATCAGTATTGCTAAAATAGTGATTAACCACTATAGTATCTAATATTTACTGGGTACAGAATTAACATATAGTCTATCTAATCACAACCCAGTTTCATTAAATTTTTTTTTCTTTTTTTGGTACCAGGGATTGAACTCGGGACCTTGCGGTTGCGAGGCAGGCGCCAGAACCACTGAGCTACATCCCCAGCCCCAGTTTCATTAACCCGAACAGCATAGCCTCAATGTGGGGTCCCAGCGGTCCTCCCAGGAGGCCGTAAGCTTTCTGAAGTGTGTTTTGCTTCCCTCCTGCCCCTCTCTCCCGCCTCCTTCCTTCCTTCTTTCTCGCCTAAACACTCTGTGCTCATGGGACGTTTCTACCTGAGTATCTATTTATTAGGGGTTTACATTTGCCAGATACTGTGATAGCACGATGTTTGGAACATTTCCTGCATGGAAGTCCAGTGGATGAGAAAGCAGTGTGTCCACACAGTGATTAGTACCGACACTTGCAGACACGCACGGACACACAGACACGCAAGCACACGCACGCACACACACATCTGTCCCATACAGAAGGCAGACCACGAATACCGTTTTAATGTTTCCAAGTCTTTTGCCTCAGACGGAGAGGAAAGGGGAGGAGAGGGGAGGGGAGGGCAGGGGAGAGGAGAGGAGTGGAGGCCCCAGCTGACACCTCTCCTCCCGACACACAGCGTACAGTGCCCAGGGCCCCCGCCCCCGGTGCGCTGAGGCCTTGGCAGGCAGGGCTCAGTGACAGCGATCTTGAGTCTCCCAGGCCTGGCAGAGGCGCGTGTCTGGAAGGTTTGCTGCCTCAGGAAAGGACGCTGAACCCTACCTGGGTGGCGTCACACTCACCCTCCATCAGGTGGGCCCTGAAGCAGGCGATCAGGAGGAAAAGCAGCAAAGCCACGGGCAGGAAGCCCCCCGAGAACAGGAGCCAGCCGGGGAGCTCGCTCACGAAGGTGGACAGCACAGAGCTCACTGCGGACTGCATGGACGCTGTGGGACCCAGGACCAGGGGCTGGGCGGCAGAGCTGGGGTCCACAGTTGCCTCCTGTCTGGGCTCTGGCCTTCGCTCGGCCCAGCGCCGGGAACTTCGGGTGGACTTTGCTCTATTTAAACAGCCTGGTAGATTCTGAGAGGGTTCCTGACAGGTTACTCTGTAACTTGGCCTCAAAGTGTAAAGGAATCAGAAGGTCAGCCTCCCTGATTCTTCTGGAGATGAGTGCTTAGCTGGCAGAGGAGGGGCGACCCCAGGAGGCCAAGGTTTCTCTGTGTTCAGTTTATCCAGAGTGTAAAGTACCTGACTTCAAGCAGCCTCCTTTTTAATGTATATTCCTCCTGTGTACCCTCATACAAAGAATTTTTACTGTAGTCCTTAAATTTCAGGGTCAAAAATTACTTACTAGTTATCCTAATATACCTATGTCTGGAAAAATGTATAATTTTCTGCATCCTTAGTTGATACCACCTGGACAGGGCCCAGGGAAGTCCCCCAAGTGGGGATGGGGAACCCCTGACTCACCCCACCCATGGGGCAGGTTGCAGGTCACCAACTTCCATCACAGAGAAAGAATTCTCAGGGAGGTCAGTACGAGCATAAAGGGATTTGTGAGGCAGAATTTCTAAGCACACACTCAAAAGAAATAGAGTGCAGACCCTCAAGAGGGAAAGAGGTATCTTGTGGCTGAGTCGGTCATGTTTGAGGGGGTTTGGGGTGTCTCTAAAATGGATGATCTAAGAGGTGTTTTCTAGTGTCTGCTGGGTTTTTCTCCTTTGCCGGCCTGTGTTAAAATGCAAACCACGTGTTTGAAGCCGAGGTCTGCGTTAATCTTACTAGCTCGATTTCTGAGGATGGTGTTAGTGAGATAGAGTGCAGTTTACAGGTGGAAGGCCCAGGCCCTGGGCCTAGTTTGTAGGTTTATTGTCATTAAAGACCTTAAGAACTTTTCCTGGAAGTGGAAAAAAGCTTGAATCACTTTTATGTCCTGACGTGTAGTTTTTCTTTAAAAGCACGATTTTAATATTGCCATTTTCTTTGTCACCTTCCTTGATTTTTTCCTATCCCACCTCCCAGTACCAAGGAAGGAGGAAGGAGATACTTTGCACATGTAAGAAGACCCCTGAGAGGCGTGCTGATTTGTTCCTTGACCCAGAAGATAGTTCCATAGCAGCCATGCTCTGGACTAGTTGCTGGGTGAGCGCACGGAGGGAGTCGCAGGCCCTGCCCCTAGGAGAGAAGACCAAGCAGATGACACAGTGACGGTGCTGCGGGGTGACAGACAGGCCCCTTCCCTCCTCCCTGGCTGCCTCAGTCTTTGCTACTGCCTCAGCTTGAGCACTCAGCTCTATGCTGTGCTCACTGCCCACGGCCCCCAGGGACAGTCCTGCGGGTTGTGTGCCAGCTCCAGAGTTTCAGGGAAGGGAAAATCTGGACACCGACAGTGACTCGTTGCCTGTGTTGAGTAGCCTTGAACTGTTTTGGTGAAAAAGTCTCAGTTACTGGACCAGTAGCTTAAACTACCCAAAGGAATCATTTCACTGTTTGAAGGACCCCCTGGAGAATGTGGGGAATGCTGAGGGAGACTGGCAGCCAGGATGCGGGCCTCATTCTCCCCTTGCATCCTCACCCTGTCCCCACTGCCTTTTGCAGCTGGTTGGCCAGCGGCTGGCAGAATCTCCAGCAGGCCAGTGGCTGTCGGTGCCTCTGGGTTCCTGTGGCAAGGACTTCTCCGCACGGCCACGCAGAGGCTCAGTCCAGCTGTGAAGGCTACAGCCTAATTCCTGGGTAGTCACACTGGAAGGGTCTCTGGGATGTGTGCCTGGCATTCCTGCACAGAGACTAAGCACCTCAACTTCAGGAGGGATCTGTAGAACATCCAGGATTAAGTCTGCTTTTTCCCACTGTATGTGCTCCCTTTCTGCACCCCTCAAAGCCATGAGTAGGGCTGCTGCTGCAATTCTTGCACGCCTTCCATTGAGATGGCTCTCTGGTGCTCAAGTGCCAACAAACTGTTAATTTGCAAAGTGTCAGTCTTCGAGGAACCTCCCTGAGCAGGTGACATTGCCAGGGAGACGTCAGGCAGCCTGCTTGTCAAGCTCTTTGTTCCCCTTTCATTCCATCCCAAAAGGCTTCCTGGAATGTCTGGGCCGAGGTAAGCAAGGGAAGGAGAGGAAGTGTATAATTGACAACACTTACCTCCCAGATCAGCATACAAACAAAGTGCAATTAATTCCCGACAAGGAATTGGGGGATTCATTAAACAGCTTTTGAGCTAAGCTGGGGGCATGGCTGGCCGAGAAAGGCCTCCTCCCACACAGAAGGCAGGAGGCAGGCCGAGCTGATGGAGGGTGGGGAAGAACTGAGTAGCTAAGTGACTCACTGTTCAGGTCAGAGAGTGTCTGCAGAGTTCAAGCTAGGAAAATTGGGTGGCATCAAAGCTTGTAGACATTCAGATGTCCTGCTAATGCCTATGCTATTTGGACCAGGGGGAACAATCAAAGGTCCTTGATCATGGAAGTGTGTGATCTGATCTGGGTTTAGGAGGCATTTGGGTAGCAGTTTACAGATAGAAGGGAGTAAGAGACATGGCAGACTTGCTAAACAAAATGTAAGGGGTCTGAGCTAGGAGATGGCAGAGAGAAGGAGGGCAGGGGACAGGGTCTGCAGGGATGAAAAGAACAGCCCTTTGAACAAATGGAGAAAGGTAGCTTTCACCAGTCATGTAAACAGTCATTGAGCACTTACTGTATGTCAGGCTCTATATAAATATTTATGTTTATTTTATTTAACCCACCCAGTAGTCTTATGGAGAGTAGAGATACTCACTATACAAATGAAGAGATGAGCCCCTGAGAGGGCATGTGCCCAGGACACATATCCAGAAGGTGACAACACTGGGGTTCTAATCCAGAGCCCGTGCTCTTCCCGCTGTGCCAGGGCTGGCTTGGTGGGTGGTGCCGCAGGGCGACGGTGCAGCTGTGGCTGAGGCCTGAGCACAGGCTGGGCTGCCTCTCGGGCAGGGGAGGTGGGGAATTTTGCAGGCACCGGATTGAGAGTGGGGTGGAGCTCGCTCTCAGCAGGAGCCTGGTGGAGTGCGGGACTCAGAAGAGAGGACAAGGCTTGGATTGTAGATTTGGGATCTATCATTGTTTGGACAGTGGCTGTGATGTAAAGGGGAGGCGAGCTGGGGGCCCTAAAGAATGCTCTGATTTAAGACCTGAGGGGAAGGATAAGGATGAGGAGAGAAAACCAATAAAAAGGGAAGGCGCTGAGGTTGAGAAAGGAGCCAGAGTCATGTTAGGCAAATGATGGCAAAAGAAGTTTCGAGAAGAAGTACCATTTACTGGATTGGAGGTAATTCTGACCCACATTGAAAGTTTTGTTTTTGGTACCAGGGATCGAACTCACGTCCTTGTTCTTGCAAGGCAGGCGGCAGAACCACTGAGTTAAATCCCCAGCCCTACATTGAAAGCTTTGAGACAGCATAATCTTGAAGTAGACTTAAAGGTTTTCTTTTTAAGTTGCAATTTTAAGTTGTAATTAAAGGTTTTCTTTTAAGTTGCAATTTGGGGATATGACTGACATAAGAAGCACAATTTCATATGTTTTGAGAAAATTATGAAACTTACAGGACAATCACCCCAAACAAACAATGAATGTGTCCACCAACCCCAAGTTTCTCATGTCCTTTTTCTATCTGTTTCCCACTTTCCAGTCCCTAGGCAAGCACTGAAGTATTCATGGATCATCTGAGGTACCATCTGTACACTAGTTTGTAATACATTAGTTATAGAGTTCTGTGTGAATAGAATCACCCAGCACATCTCTCATTTTGTCTAGCTCCGTTCCTGCATAATTATTTAAAATTCATTCATGTTGTCTGTATCAATAACTCATTGGCTTGCATTGCCGAATAAAGGTTCATTGTATGGGTAATCTATTCATTTCTCCATTCACCTGTTGATGATCATTTGGGTTGTTTCTCATTTTAGGCTACTACACATAAAGCTGCTATGAACATTCCCATGCTCTTCATTGGGACACAAGCTTTTATTTTTCTTGGGTGAGGACCTCGTAGACTAGCTGGATGATATGGTAGATGCATGTTGACTTTTAAGAAATTGTCAGGCTATTTTCTTGAGTGATATCATTTTATATTCTGACTAACAGTGCATGAGATTCTATTCCTTCACATAGACAGTAATTCTTGACATACCGAATCTTTTTAACATTAGCCATTCCAACCATGTAAAGCAATATCTCATTTTGTTGACCCCTGTCCTCCCTGGTACTGTCACTGGGCTGAGCTAGGTCTTGAGGTTCCCGAGCCTGAAAAAAAGAATGTAACTCAACCTTTAAAAATAAGTTTGGAGGCCGGGGATTTAGCTCAGTGCCGCCTGCTTGGCAAGCGCGAGGTCCTGAGTTCAATCCCCGGTACCAAAAATAAAAAATAAAAATAAAAATAAGTTTGAGGGTTTGCTGACCTCTCATCATGGTAAAAGAATTTTCAAGACACATCAGTAAGAGAGACATGAGAAGGTTTATTAGACAGAGACGTAGGACACACTCAAGAGTGGAGTACAAGTGCTCAGAAAAACGAGAACACGTTATAAGCTTGATAGGCACATTTTAAAGCTTCATAGGCATATTGTCTTCAAAAGGGCCTCTTTCAGGCAGGTGATCCAGGATGTGTGTTCTTGCTGTCTATCAGATTGCTGGAAGCCAATAAAGTCTAGATAATGTTTGAAGCTGAGATGTGCTTTCCAATACAGCCGTTCCCTGGGCTGGAGGAAAGGATAATATTTGTAGGTGTAATTTACAGGCTAAAAGGACCTGTAGGAATTTAACACTACTTTTTGTAACAACAGGAGGAGGTCACAAGCTAGGGCAGCCTACAGAAGTAAGAAAAGAGCTCATCTTGAAGCTGCAGCTTTTCTTAGAAGTGTAACTTTAAAATCCACATTTCCTTGTCTCCTTTTTACCTAAATTTTATTTCTTCTGTCCTACCTCAGTACTGGGGTTGAAACCAGGGCCTA